TAATGATTCCACACTAACATGAAGGAATGGAGTAACTGGATGTGTACACTACAACCGGGGTAGCAAGAGGATAGAGATAGTGACGCACCGTGTATGACTTCGCTTCAATTTTCGTTGCGTGGCGATCGGCGCTGGTTTGAGGTCAGGGGGCTCAGGGGGGTCAGACGTGTCGCGTCCAGATAAGTCAAATGTTCCTAAGAGTAGATAGGCGACGTGCGTGCTATCGATCCAGTCGATAAATGGATAGGCAGCGATGCAGTGTAGGATTGAGGCAAAGCATGTTAACTTGGAAAATACTGTCTAATGACGACAGTGGCTTCACAAAAGGCGGACCAAATTGACACCTATGGCTTTGTACAGCGACTAGAAGGAGTGGTAGTAAGCTGTTCGGGTGACTCTCAAAAAGATCTTTGAAATAAGACCACCAGAGTTCTTGTGCGACGAGAGGAAAAATAAATTCTCTGATAGAATTCAGGTACGGTTGATTTCGAAATTGCAGAAGCACTGTCTGCTGGTGATCAGCGAATGAGAGATTCAAAAGATGAACAGTGCTAAGAGGAGCTCGCGGAGCCAGATCGAATTATAGTACGTAAGTCTCTGTGAGAATATTTCCGAATATTTAAGGGCGAATAACGCAGGGGGACACTTCTTCTTGCGACCGCTCGGTGTGTGACAAATAGAGCATAGTAATCGCTTTACTAGTAATCGCTTTAACTCTTTCGGGGAGTGTTCAGCCATCCTATGCAGAAGCACCACAACTGAAAGTGAACTGGTAGCTAATGTTAGATAACTAAGTACCTGGTGAATTTTTTCTACGATTCTGGTGAATAACCCTTCGGACGTTATGGATGTGTCGTGTTTGAGTGGTCTTGTTCTGTATATCAGACATGTTGTTTTGCGAAATCTCATAGATAAAATCATTTTGCTTGAACAGCCGAAGGGAAAACATGTGCATTCTTTATCATTAAGCCTTATCAGCTGCTCAACACCTCTGAAGAGATGGACGGATTGCTTTGGGTACGCCTTTGGTAGTACAGTGTTACGTAAGGGTTAATCATTAACTTTCACTCTCCTCTATCTGCATATCATCATCATCATCAACAACAACAATAACAACAACCAACAGTGCATTAGCCATTTGAACTGATGTTTCGCTGCTATACAACTATGATAACCTATGAAATAAGGAATAATAAGACAGAGCGAAGGGGAATTATCAGAAAACCTTACTGCGCTAAACGAACATTCAGAGTCAAGGCGCCTACACTTTGTGTATACAACATACCGTCATAAACAGCTGGCTATCGTGCAAAGATAAGGCGACCTCGGCGAAACTGTGATTGCAGTTTTCACTGCCAGGCGTCATAATCAGCCGTTACTCCGCCGATAACTCCACACCAAACACACTTTAAACAGGCGATCCGATTAGGAGACGGCAGCAAACGCGTCACTGGTGTCGGTTGCGAGCCATGACTTGTAAATTTTCGAGCCAAGCACAAGGCTAGTCACGTGGACTCCAGCCCGGAAGGCGAGACGGACCAGACTAACGGCACCCAGTTTGGTCGTCAGTAACTTCATTTCCCGCTGCCAAGTCAACTTCTGTCCGCCTCGAGCTTGCGCCATCCGACACCTGGTAGACTGAACAAGGCCCTCCTAGGTAAGCGGTGACCAGGCATGCGTAGCACGTGCCCGAGCCAACGCAACTTATTCAGTGCTATCTGTTGTTCTTGGAAGCTAGCATGATTATCACTTCCTAGTACTCGCCTACACACATTGCCGCGGTCACGCTGGTACCATCCGAATGTAGCTATGCTCCGCAGACAACGATGCTCGGAGGCTTGAAGGCGTCTCAGATCTTCGGACAGAAAGGGCCAAGTTTCACCACTGTACAGCTTGGCGACCCTCACTGTGGCCTTGTATACCCGGCCTTTTAGACGGACGGAAACTCCTGTCACCAAAGATTTCTGAGGTTCAAGAAGGCACTTCTGCCTTTTGCAATGCGTGAATAGACTTCACTTTCTATGCGTCCATTTTTGCTGCTGCAGCTGCTAAGGTAAATGAATGGATTCGCCATCTGGAGTTCGTCGTTAGCACGAGTCAAGGGGTCATAAAGTGGCTGGTGGTCCTGCAGCAACACTTTGCACTTTGAAGGTGCAGAGTGCAAACCAAATAATGGGACCACTCTAGATAGACTATTTAAGGTTGGTTATTTGGTCACAACATCCGCAAATAATCAAGATCAACTAAGTTTCCATCACGCAGAACCTCAACACCTGCATCGTGAGATTCCGCAGGGGAACACGCCTTGATAGAATCCACGACGAAATTAAACAAAAATGGGGAAATCTGACAACCCTGACGGAGGCCACTTGTAGTCGGAAAGCTATCCGACAGGTCACCGTGGACTCTGACGCGGCCTGCAGTGTTCGAGTATAGAGCACGTAGGATTTTCACATATTTCGTGAAGATACCTTTCTGCGCAAGTAGTTAGAACAGAATTGATCGATCAACTAATTCGAACGTACTCTTGAAATTGAGGAACATAGCTATTGTCGGCCTGCGGTATACGTGACGCTGCTCTAACAACTGCCAAGGTGCACACTTACTGTCTAGATATTCCGCACATGTATTGCGATACGGCTGGACAGAGCAGTTAAAGTATGAATTTACTCCAGCTTATGTATTCGCTCGCTGTTCCTCATGTTGGGGTTAAAGGTGCTTCATCACAGTTAGTTTAGATGAATAGACCTGCGCTTGCTCAGCCATACACTTGCTCTGACTTAACCCATTATTTTTCTTTGCCCAGTTCTGTAAATTCTCCACATATTCCCACTTTAGTTCGCACGCTTTTAATCGTTTTCGTCACTTGCATCCCCTGAATTTCATCCTTTCCAAGACCACATTTAGACTATAACAAAATTAACGTATATTCTTGTACCGGTTCAGTTCTGTTGTACTGCCGCACATTTACTTTCCGGTTCGGGAGTTTATTTTCCTCTTACTGTTTGATAACTCCGGTGTGATTGCGCTTGATGTGAATATTGACTAGGTACCCTCCTGTTGATAAACCGCTTCTGCGATTACATTGGTTCCGGGAAGCGGTTGGTCGTTGCTTGGGGCAACTAGTTACACCGTGCTGTTGACCACGCTGGGCTCAAACAGTGGTCCCATCCCGTGTGGAACGGATATGGCTCAGCCAATACCAAAATTAGCTAGACAGGTATGCTGCTGCTGCTGCTGCTGCTGTGCATATTAAAGGAGTGTGGGCCGACTCCGTCGATGAAACGTGGCTCCCATCCGCATGCCTCCCGTTCTTATTCCTTCTGGTTTACACTGGATATGAGGTGTGTATGGATAAAAATACCACCCATGGTCCCTCTTTAGGCGCAGGCGTCCGGTAGTTGCGGCATGGAGGCAGCAGTGACAGACAAATGGGGAACCACACGCAGCCATTCACATATCCTTTATGAAGTGCTTAAAGAGGATACAGTGCCTCGACTAGTTGGAATGGTTAAGAAGTTTCAAATAGCTCTATGATGTTTAATTAACATAATTTTTGAAACAAAAACACATCCACACAATAATTTATAAGGCGGCACAATCAGTTTTCCATGTTTGTGCACGAAGATATGCTGCTCAGCATCTTCGATCATGGAAGCATTCGGAAATGATAGACTTGATGTTGGGAGGTTCGTTCAGTACATGAACAGTGTGTTAGGGAATATCTGTTGGATTATCCTTAGTACTGAGCAGCACCTACTACGAAGGTAGTCGAGAGTCAGTAAAGTCAAAAACCACCTAGATACTGTCCGCTTTATTAGTGTTGTATATTCGTTCTGCTTAATTTGACATTAGTTGCAGAATCAGGTATTATACACCGAGACAAACGATACTATTGTTCAGATGATAATAGCGCATGAAAAGTGAAAGATTTCTAGTGGATTTTTGTACAGTTTCCGCGAATCCAGGTTAATTCCGTTGCGATGTTTCTTACAACGTCAGATAGCATTGTGAACACGGATGGAGAATTACGATTCCATTTTTCAGGCATACAGTTATGCGCTACGTAGGTACGCCCACTTGTGAGAGGGTGTGATACAAAGTACTTCTTCAATTACACGTGATCTTCACGCGCCCGGCTGCGTCCGCCATGCAGTTGAATATAGATCGAATGTCGTTTTATCGGCTGCGCGATGACTTACCAACCGAATATAGACCACGTGACGTATTGAGTGGTCGTAGCACTTATGCTAAAGAAGTGTAGGCCAGATGAATAATACATTTGCAAGAAAAGGGATTGTTTTGAGGATTGTAAACAGGCATAACATTGTATACAATTCCACTGAGCCAAACATTAGTTGATAGCAACACAATATGGAAAATGTGCATGGACATCCATCTGAAGTGAGCAGCTACCGGAGAACACCATATTGTTTCTCGGTCAATTACCACCATAACGCTTTCAAATGCCTTCCAAAGGAAATCGTGTTCTTACACAGATTTCTCATGATAGCCCTTAATCCTATCATGTTGCATCCAACAGGCTCGAAATCTAAGTGCTATCGTTCATGAGTGACAAATCTCAACTCAGACAATAGCATCCCACACGGTGTACTTATCTGCTCTAATTTCGGCTAATGCGGGATCGGTCACTCAACATACAGGACACATATTTTTCAAGCGTTTGCACACTGTTGATGCAATGTGATAGCGCCAAAGACTCATTTGGGAGATTTATGGAGGAATTTGAGAGCAGTGAATCCTGTGGCCGGGTAAAGGAAAATTGCGACCATCATGGAAGATGGCAGCACTAACACCTCGGATCCCATGCACAAAGGGCAACCCTATCTTTCAAATGGATCTATCTCGTCTCAGCTTATCTTCTGACCAGTGGGACAGCAAAATGACCCGAACTAACAAAATGTGGTGAAAGAACAAACGAAATGCTATATCATCAATCAGATATGATAGATGCTTGACCACACAAATGCTTTTTTCAGGTACTCACGGGAATTGGTCCCCAATCGAATACTCACCTGGCCAGAGGCATCAACGCCGGAGCAGGTGACACCTTGTCGGATGGATCGGCGCACTCCACAAAGACCACAAGCGATGCTGTCCGATCCAGTTGCCTTATCAGCAAACTCAAGTGGCGCAACTCGCGCCGGTCAAAAAGTGCCCACGAACGTGTCGAGGATGGTAACACTGTTCATCGGGCTTTAGATACACAGGTAACCCAATGAATGCTTGCATTTGGTGTCTATTAGGATCAGATTCTTTGAAATTCGATGTAATGGATCAACGTGACGATGATACAATGTTAAGGCCAATACTCTCCACTAACTAGCGAATATGATAGAACGGTCATGGTGCTGAGAGCAAAAGGAAAGAATGATATTTCTAGAACTGAGCTGCTGCCAATTAAAGGCATAAACATGTTGTAACTTGTTTCCAATTTCGACCTTATTTGCGTGCTTAACAAAACACACGTTTGCAATGCATTGTTTACTTACATATGAATACGTCACATTTCTGCGGCATATGTGAATGCAATGTTCAAGCTGCTTCTAAACAAACCCTGGGGGATCCTAAAATAGTAACTTTGCACAATCACTTTATGTCTAGTAAGATTGTAGGAGACGGGCATATTGGGGATATTCTGGATCAGTATGATGCTGATTCGGATTTAGATAGCGACCCTTTGTTTGGTGTTGCAATTTGACGACACCATGAAATCGGTTCCACCAAAAACTGCTGCTACTTCATAGGGAGGTCACCTATTACCCCCGCGCGCATTCAGCTGTCTCTTATATGCAAAGCGCTGCACCGCTTTGATACACCGGCGTCTAACGCAACGATCTCGTGTTTCTACCATGATCGTCAGGCTTGCATGCCATTTTTGCTTAAGCACACGCGTAATCATGCAACAGTATGAAAAGTATAGATGAGGCAGGATTTCGTGGTATTGTGTCTAGGATACTTAAGCCCTGATTTTTACTTCTTGAAGCCAAATCAAACTGCCCTGAACATCTGAGGTCATTTTGTATGTGTGTAATGTGTGTAGGCTCACGTCTGTAACTCTTGGCGTGCAGCAGCGTAGCTATACAACCTGGTAGGTAGCCAAATCATACACGAACCAATGCTAAGCTAACTAAAGATAAAAAATAAACTTACTTTGACGGGTAACAGTAGGGAGAAACCATCCTATGGTGTTCATCCGTGTTGGTGCTTAGATTGGCGAGCGTCATTAGATCTTGGGTGCACCCGTTAAATTTCATTTAAAATTCTACTCATCAAATACCTAAACCTGTTGGACATTAATTTTTTGATATACCATACCTTATATCCTCACTGACAACTAGCTACTTCGAAGCAGCGGAAACCCTAAGAACAGTTACGTAAAGCAAGAACAGGTCGGTTATAATTGCTGTATTCCAAGACACAATACTCTCAAGCTGAATGGAGTCGGACATTGATCTCCGGACTCGGATTCTAATTGCAGCTGAACGACTACGTGACTGATTTATCACATGACTGGATCACCAAAGTCCAGGTATATCATATCGGCTCTGGCATCACAACCCACTCTGCTTCTAACCAATGCGTATAATCAGTCAGCTTACGATGCAATATCATGGGTGATCCAAATCGTCCTGATCCATCGTGATGATCCGTGATGATCACTAACATAATGGTCGGAAACGCAAGAAGCAGTTTTATTAAGTATTACTAAATACATAAGCTAATAATGGATATATTTATTGACAGTGTGGTTCACAGAACGACTATGAGAACTGAGCAGTTTTTCGTACTCAATATATTTACATACCTTATAAGTCGGGAAATAAGTACTCGCTCCAACTCCAAAGGATCGTTTACACTTCGGTACACGCCGACGGGATCTGACCCCCTGGTCTGCCAGGTTTATGGCTGTCACCAGCAGTGCCGTCGGATGAATGCTGTCCACTCCGTGGGAATTAAGACAACACAGAAATACAAATTTCTTAACCCTAATTGTATACTAGAGGAGATGTGGTAGAATCCAGATCGTGGAGAAATACATGCAGAACTGTTTTGGCTGGTCAACCTCAAAGTTGGAACAGAATTGTGGTCACAAATAACCAGTGGTCTTTTTCTTATTCGTGTACGCGCCTCAGGCGCTGCGAGTGGTGACATTCCTCTCAGATTTTGTCATGGCTATGCACATGTTTGTGAAAAAATTTGGAGGTCGAGAGCAGTTATTCTGTCAACCAACTATGCAGCACTGGGTTCTGGAGAGGTATAAAATGTCCAAAAAGCTAACAATCGTTGCAAGTGATGGATTAGATCGTAGCTGGGGTTACGTCGCCAAGGAGAGGACCTGTCTGCCTGTGATCAAAAAATCCGAAAAAGTTTGGCGCTTCAGAAACTACCTTTTGCTAACATTTTACAGTACTTTTTGCGAGACGCAAGGATTCCCGAAGCAGCTTTTATTCAGTGCGGGGGCTATCTACATGCACCATCTGAAGCCGGAAATACGTGTAAAACAATTCATACAGCAGATAATACTAACACGGTCAATTGACACTCTTACATAATTATTTACATGTTATCCGATCTATATACTTCAGACTACTGGGATTCGTGCATGCATGCTACATTGGTTCACTTGGTTTGTCCTGTCTCAGCTTATCGATGTTGATCGTTCAAACAATCTAGAAGTCAATCTTAGCCCGATTTGACGCTTTACACACATAAACAGTGCTGTATAAACGTTTGTGTCTGATGAGAATTTATTGGAAAGTATTCTTTGTCCCGAACTAATGTCTGCATTTGCAAGTGTTTGTATGCAGGTGGAAAAAGGAAATTTTTAGACAGTCTCAATTTGCTGAGGCTTAAGCGGTCAACAAGAAACCGAATGCGCTGAGGAGAGAAAATCACGCAAGGAGCTGTTGGGTCTACATTGGTTTCTTAACCTAACTAGGTTAAGGTCAGCTCAAGATATTACGTATCAGAACACAGGTAATCGCTAAATAAGGTCGTACATCAGCTCGCTTGGTTTACACCAACCGTATTGAGTATATATATATATACATATATATATATATATATATATATATATATATATATATATATATATATATATATATATATATATATATATATATATATATATATATATATATATATATATATATATATATGACATGCTCCGCTCGCATGAATTCGGAAAAGAATCGAACAAAATCCAGCGCTATCACTCCTACCATTTCCCGCATACCGAGTAATTGCACGGAAACCAATTTTGATACGGCACTGCGAACATTCATAAAGTAGACCACTGTCTATCAGAGCAACCCTACATGTAATGGATCACAAGGTCCAAGGCAAACCGTACTAGGAAACCGCCAACTGAGTTGTGAAGACTGATCTTTCATCCGGAGTGCCCGTAGCAGTAAAGCCAAAGCAAACATACGTTATGCATCTTTTTATTTGAATCACAATTCATTCAGTAGAGTAAAACCGTGATCACAGCCGGTGTTCGGTCTTTTGCGAGCAGGTGTGTTCAGACACAGCTTTGGGCGAACATATGGGTTGTCGCGGAAATGCCGTGTACCTGAGCCTATACGATGCGGTGTAGCTGAAGCTCTGTAGCTATGGTTCTCAACCTTCTGAGGCTGTTACCCATAAAGCGGGTTCAATAAACAATTTTCCCTAAACTATTTTAATCTAAAAAGTTAGTTAAATATCACAGTTTTGCTTCAAAGTAATACTGTTTTAAATTACTTTTTACCATTCAAAGCAAGAAAATGGCTATTTTGAGCGATATTTTATTAAACCAACAGGTACATTAATGAAACGGTTGCTACTGCTTATTTCCTGGTATATTTGGTGCGGTTTCGTTGAGTCATTCTCCCAGTTCATTCTGTTCCTTGCTTTAGTATGTGATCTCTGCTCAAACATGAACAGATATCAGTTAATGCTCATATGTTTGAAGCATCTCTTCCTAGTCCATCCTTGAAGACAGCTTCCCACCACCACTGTGTTTCAATGCGTCCTGAACACTAATCAGCTGTTTTGTTCCTTAATCTGATAAAAATTCGTGCGCTTATTTACCTAATGTGCTGATCTATGCTCCCACCTGATTGTTCATTCAACTTTGTAATTCGACCCGGCGAACGGCTGTCCGGTTCAAAAGAACAACGATCGACGAGCTAGCCGAGAGAGGCGTGGTTTGGATGCGCTGCTTTTCAGACTTGCATTCGAATTTGGATAATAAAAGGTGTCACCGGAAATAGTCTAATTCCCTGGCCACTCACCCATAACGCTGCAAAATTATTTTCATAACAGAAATAAGATAAAATGTAGTACCAATTGTCATCATCATCATCATCATTATACACGTCAGCAAGAGATAGGAAACACCTCAGCTACCGTGCTGCAATACACAAAGGAAAAGGAAACTAAATATAACAGTTGTATGCCAGCTGCGCTACCAGCAACGGATAAGCATAGGATAAGCATTGTTCCGGTAAGCTACCAGCCAGCTACTAGGCAAAAAGAAAAATTATTATGTAAAATTACATTACGCTACGAAATGAGATCGTGTTTGGAGGGGGAGGCTAAAAGGGATGGGGAGGGACAAAGAAACTCACAGCAGGAAAGCCACTGAGGTCGGCTGCTTGCCATGTCAGCAAGTGTATCCAGCCAAACTTGTTCATCGTCCTTTGGACCCCAACCAGTTAGCCGTGACACTCCAACCGAGGCCAGCTCCGAAGTGAGGGCCTTCATTCCTCTGGACCAAGTTTATCGCTTGGCCACTTCTCCTCTTCTTCCATCCACATCCCTGGTAAGCAAACAACGCACGTCGTGGAAGTCGGTTCGCTGGCCTGTGCAACATGTGGCCAAGCGATCGGAGCCTGGTGCGTGAAATGACGGTGCTGAGCGGTTCAGTTCCTTTTCCTGTGCCCTAGACAAGGCGTCGAACAGGCTCGTTACTCACGCGGTGTTCCCACCAGATATGAGCCAAACTGCGAAGGCACCGATGGTCGAACGTACCAAGTGACCTGATTACCAATATGCATATCAAAGGTTTCCATCAAATCGGGTATTCTTTTAATTTCCATTTTTCATTTCCACTAAGCTGTGCTTTCCAAGCATCGAATGCTTGCCTGTGATTGGTTCATTGGCTCCCTGTAATCGTGGAAAAGAAGTCCTCTTGGCCATGGTATCCATCTGATACTTAAAGTCG